TATTATTTTCTGTTCTTAAACTGTGTTAGCAATATTTAAAGAAGTTATTCTGATATATAACTGTTAAAGATAAAGCACTTTTCGCAATAAAAACACTTAATTTACAGACAACAATAACAAACTAACCTGATGATGAAGCAGCCATCTTGGATTCTACCCAGAATGCAACGCGCTTGTGGAGTGACCATTTTTATGCATTTTGTTTTAATTCTTCACTTTTCTTTCACATAAAATGTTTTTTTTTAATTTCTTAAATAGTCTTACTTTATATTTACGCGATATTTTTGGAAAAATTCCAAACAATCCTTTTAAAATAAGACTTTTTGGGTAGCCTCGTTTTCATGCAAATTAGCATTTTTGGTAATTTTAGACAAAGAAAATTAGATATGAAAGCTACCGATTTGAGATGGCTATCCACAAAATTTTGATACCTTTTGTGATACCCTTTGACCTAAAAGTAGTCATAATTTGTCCCTCTAAGTGGTAACTAGTCGTGGCTTGGCCCATGGACTAATACTGACCCCCCAGCCAATAATCCTCGTTTGTAAGGGGCAGGCTGCACAAAAAAAATAAATAAATACCTCTTTCTCAATTTCATCTTTCAGTTTGTTGAAACTTGGTGAGTTTTTGTCGTTAAATTCCTGTTGGTATTCACGGCTGGTCAAACGAAATGTGGCGCTAAACGTAAATGGTGCAACTGAAAGGAAAGGATTCATAAAACGTTTAAGTTAAAACGTGAGAAAAAGGTCATCGTACTGATAAGAAAAGGATAGAAAACTACTGGATTTTGCATGACTTCTCCAATATCGACGTTATTAACGTCATTAAGAAGAAAAGAAAAGCCGTTCTTAATTGAAAATTGATAAACGCATCGGAATACAACGCGTTGCATGAAACTGAAATATTTAAATATCGACATTGCCGTTCTTACCGTGAATCACTACTTCGTATTCAAATTGRCATTTTCCAGCAGCATTGRAAATCGTACAGTTGTCGTTGTTTTCTGGYTTACATAAAGTGTAACTGTTGCTTCCTGTCAGATTGAAATACCCMTTTGCACAGGATATTGTTGGTACAGGAAAACCTTTAGGTGATAAGGTAAGACACTGTTCATTGGTCAGCGTATACTTCTTAGTCTTGCACTCTTCCAAATCTAGAAAAGTTGAAATCACATTTTCAGTAAGAGGGCTGATGCCAACTCGTGAGACAAGTATTGCATAGAAACGCTAAAGATAGGATTTGAGGAGTTTTGGAAATAGGTGAAGAACTTTCACCGTCCCGAAAGAAATACAGAATTTTGGAGGTTAGATAAGGAAAGTTCTATTCAGAAAATTACTTTCTAAATAAACATCCAGTTTTATCAACAAAACCAGAAAAGTACAGATGATTCACTTTAAAAGTTGTGTCGTCAGCTTCGTCCAATCAGACAAAGGGCAAACGGAAGATTTTTTTWGTTATGRMTGAGCTYTAGTCGTTGATGGATAAAGTACTCACATAGAACTTTAACTACAGAGGTATTACTTGCACCACTACCAACACTGTTAGTAGCCATACACCTATACTCTCCAGCCTCATCACGTGTAATGTCCCGTTTGGCTAATACTTTATCGGTTTCACCATCCAAAACATTTCCATTGAATGACCAGGAGTACTCGCCAGGAGGATTAGCTGATGCGCTACAGGTGATATTAATTGATTCTTTTTCGTTCAAAACCACACTTGTTGGCGACACCTGGATGTTGTATGGCTTATCTGAAAGTAATCATTGCTGCACTTAATCATTTCCTTCTGATTCAAAAGAAGAAGATTGGCGACCATGTTGGTGATATCAAAAATAGACATGNTAATATTAAGTGCATTTTGACAGTAACTTTTTGGATTTTTTCAATCATTACAGGAACCATAAAACAATATAAATGCATTTTAACAGTTTTGGTTTTTTCAATCATGCAAAAATCATAAATTAATAATTATATTCAAATGTTCAAACTTTTTGATCTTCTAATACAGTTTTTTTCTTACACCAAAATCATTTAATAAACAGAACATTACAGTTGTTGCAGCTTAAAGATATAAATTTTATCTTGAAGTTTTGAATTTATATCCATCGAGTGAGCACAATATTTCCATGCGACCATGTAATATCTTCTATTTAATCACACAGGAATGATAAATAATAATAAATACATTTTGGTGGTTGATATTTTTCAATCATACAGTGATCATAAAAAAATGATTAATGCAATTTGACAGTTTTGATGGTTTTTCAATCATTCAGGAAACATGAAAATGATTTAATCACACAGGAATAACACTAATCAATACATTTCAGTTTTGGTTGATATTTCTTAATCATACAGTGATCAATCATAAATAATAATTAACATTTTGACAGTTTTGTAAACAAAGGAATCATCAAATGATCATAATATAGATGAAAGTTTTTAAAGCAACTTCTCAAATTCTTTGCTTGCCAGTATCCAAACATTTCCTACATTTGTTGACAGTTCATTGAAGAGTAAAAGAGTAAAAATCTGAATTTTTAGATAACTTAAATATCAAGTCTCTCAGCTTTTCAAAATGCATAGGACTTAAATTAAAACATCTGAGTAGTTCTGTGTCAAAAAAGATTATAAAGTAGTTTGCACACACAATTCACACGTATTTTCATTGTCAACAAACTGATTTAAGCTTAATTGAGTTTAATTTGGTTTTGAAGTCAGGTGAAGATTTTCAAATTCAAAACTGCTTGTGTTTCCTAAAGTAGTAGAATTGATATTTGAGCATGAAAAACCGCTTGACAGCTCCCATACTTAATAGTCATAATCTAACATACCGACACGGAATCGTCGGAGAATAAGTTATGTCAACTCTCCTCTGTGAAATTCTCCCTCAATAATCGTTGTCTTTGGCGTTCATTTTCTCGATTTTCTTCAGGCATGTTTCGTCTATACTTGCGTTTTCTCTCCCTTTCAAGCCTGCGTTGTTCTTCACTAAGACCTCTTCGACGTTCTCTTTCTCTTCTTCTTGTCTTTTCTTGTTCCGATAAAAAGCGTACGCGCTATTTGACTCACGCATGCGCAGACAAATGTCCCTGTGTCGAACAGCAGGGACATTTGTCTGCGCATGCGTGAGTCAAATAGAATACATAACGCGCGGTATACCTGTGCCTGGCGGGAAACTTTGAAGATGTAAGTAAACATGGCGAAGACTATGTTGAGAGCCGGTGTCCTCTCTTTTGTATTCATTTGCGTGTGTTTTACTCTTCCCATGAATAATGAAAGAAGACGTTTTGTATGTAGATGAAACTGTGCAAAAATAGTCCAATTTAGGGTAAGTTTAAGAACTTGTTTCGGAATAAACTTTATCCACATTTTATGAAAAAAATGTGTTACCCATAGGTTGATATATAATCAGTGTGAAAACCAAGACATTCGAATGTGGGGAAGTTGCCAATGCCGCAGAACAATAGAGAGTTTCCTAGTTCTTAAGCGCATTGTTACTTAACGTTATGATAATAGCAAATGAAAATACTTACAGTACACTGTCAGTGATCTCGTACATGTGCTGTTTTCGATTTTATTTGTGGCTTTGCATGTTACTGTTACACCATTCAGATCGGCAGTGGCTGGAATACTCGCGATTGGTCGTTGATGTACTTTGTCTGGTGTAGTCCATGTATAGCTTACAGGTGGATAGCCCTTTGCTGAACAATTCAAAACCATAAGGTCGCCTTCGTTGGCTGAAGCAGGAGCAGAACAAACTGCATTTCCAATGTCTGTTGATAAGAGAATAGTCAGTTATTAATCATGGAAACACTTTCCATTAAAAATATGTCATGCCRTTATACTGACTACAAAATTATACTCACATCGAATATAAATAACGGCTTTGTTACTTGTATCAGCACCAAAGGTATGCGTAACTGTACAGATATATTCTCCAGCATCTTGTGCTGTGATATTGTCTTTAGTTAATACACGGTTAGTTTTTCCTTCCAAAATCTTGCCATTCAGCGACCACGAGTAGTTTCCAGCAGGATTAGTTGATGCATCACAAGTGAGAGTCAATGTTTCTGTTTCATTCAACACCAGATGTGATGGAGACACTGTTACATTACGTGGTTTGTCTATCAATTCAAAGGAAGACACAAAAAGTGCTCATTAAGTCATCTCTAGTGCCCCTCATATTTTGCAACCAATTTAGTATTTCGGCCCCACGTGCGCTCTTAAAGAACCTTAGGGAAATGGTCACGTGATGGGGGCCGTACGCCTTTTCGACAGGGCCGTACAAACCCGTACCTTCCCGGCTTGAAGTTCCGCGCGCCTTTATTTTTTTATTTTTACATTAAAAAACGCTGGCATATGATAAAATGCTTATTGACTGAGTTAGGTCGGGCCGTACGGGAAAATATTTCGCTCTCTGTCATTTGTACGAACATCGCTGCGCTCGATCCGTACGGTATAACCTCGAGCCAAATATTTTCCCGTACGGCCCTCCCACTCAGTCAATAAGTACATAGCCTTTTGCTAAATTTCCCTTGCATAAATTAAATAGAGGGGGATTTAGTAAAAGACAAAAGAATCCTTTGTCTTCTAAATTTCCCTCATGTTATTCATGAGGGAAATTCGGGTTTGTAAACCCCGCGGAAGACAATGGAATCTGAGGTGATCGTGGTATTACAGATTGAATACATTCAAGAATTTAATACATGAGAAAATTTTAAATTGAAGACCAAATCAAATAAGTACAGGAATCGAAATTTACATATTAAGTAAAAAACTGTCAAAAAATCCTGCAAATATTTTAGGGAGACGTCGTATGATTTTGATTTATTTTTTCATGATGTTTAAATTCAGATGACTCACCTTCCACCTTCCCTTTTGCCTCTTGTATTGTGATGCCGTCTGTCCTAAACATCCACACTCCTGACTTATTGACGTTTGTTTTAAAAGGGAGATCTAGTACACTAATATTTCGATACCCATTAAATGCGACGTTGTAGGAATGATTACCAAATCCAGCGTTGAACCCGCACTAATAAACAGAAATTTGAGTTTACTGTAATCAAGAAGACAAGAACATTTCAAAACCTTATAAAGATTAAAGAAATGGAAAATTCGAATACAGCAAATTGTAATACCTTCGACCCCTTCTACTATATTTCAAGCATGTGTCTGATAGGTACAAGTCTTCGAGAGCGGATTGGTGGCCGATTCTTTGCCGCAGCAATACCTACTTTTTTCATATTTTCGATGGATGCGAAAAATATAGCAGATTTTTTAGACTTTTTTTAAATAAGTAGATAAAGAAATAAAAGGAGAAAAAAAAGAAAATATATATTTAGAATTGTTGCTTAATTTTAAATTTCCCTAGAAAATTATAAATTAATTTTATTTAAAGATGATCCTGCGAGTCTCAATCAATCACGGCTATTTTAAAATTCAATTAATTAAACTAGATAACGGGTTTTATGTATACCCCTGCTTCAGTTCCTCCAAGGCCGTTTTTGGGGTTCCCTCCGCTTGTTGTCCCTGTTGTCCATGTAATTTTGTGGTAGTTAAAACGAACGAACGAGTAGCGGCCATCGGTTAGCAATACTGACTGGAAGGTGTTAGTGATGTTCTGAAGTCATAAATCATTTCTAATATGATAATAATAACAAAAAAGGAAGCAATATACAAACAGAAAATGGCAGCCCCAACCCCATAAGAAACATTTTACTGCAATGATAATGAAAAATGTATAAAGAAGAAGAAGAAGAAGAAGAAGAAGAAGAAGAAGAAGAAGAAGAAGAAGAAGAAGAAGAAGAAGAAGAAGAAGAAGAAGAAGAAGAAGAAGAAGAAGAAGAAGAAAAAATACTATCGAGAAAGTCAACTTCCGAAACATATATGTTTTGATTTTGCTCGCTAATGTCTGAGAGTTGTTTTGATTGTTTATTGTTCATTGAGGTGGAGTAATAATATAGGGATTTTTTATTTCTGTGTCCCGTGACAGCAACAATTTTTTTGTACAGGCACAGAAGCGTCGTCAAGCTTTTTCGCAAGAGTTTTTCTAGCACTATGATTGGTTAGCTTTTTTTCCCTTCACTGTTTGTGTTAGCAACGATTCTCTTCATCATTTCGCCGATTCTATATTTTTTGCAGCCCCATCTTTTTATTTTTGTACCAGATGTTACTCTTTGGATTAACTATACACAGATATGGGCCTTTATTTCGTAATTATTCTGTACGATGAGACAGATATTTTCTGATTATTTCCACAGGACATCTTTCTGTTCCAGTTGCGTTCATGGTCATTGAGGGGGACGGTTTGACTTGCCTGTTGTTCTAGTTGGTTTTGCATCGTTGTCTTTGCTGTGTTTGTATTTCGAGATTTCTCTTTCAGAGCCGAAATGTCAGTTTCCGTAATATATAAAAATTAGGTAACACCTAATAGCGGAGGTCCATAGCAATATAGAAGAGAAAGAAATTTAAAACAAATTCTAGGACTCGATTTCGAGTTATAAAAACAGTCAGAGCACTAAAAACATACCTCTTGCTTCATACCTTTAACTCCCTAACGAATTGGTGTACAGTGCCGAAACTCTGCATTGCGTAGCAATATGATAGGATAGTTCTTTCCAGAAATCGGTCAATGTATATTTGATACAAAGTAAAATGTGAATATTTGATTTTGTATACGATCTTTTTCTTTGAAAATTTTTGCTGCAAGGACCGCTTTATGATGACTGTGATCTTTTTAAATGTTATTTTGAGAATTTTATGTAGGTATGATATTGGGCATGAAATACACACTGTACCTTAGTCATATAATTGTTGTGACTTCCATAAAACGTTACGTTCTTCCAAGTAGCGACAAACATCCATATTGCAGAGAATCGCGAGAATTCTGGAAAGGCCTTTCTTACGTCGATTGATGCCACTTCTAGTAGATATTGGCTATTGTTTTGTCTATAGAAAATACCACCTATATATCTTCTTGCAACGTCTGCCCAGAATGGAGCGATTATAGTAAAGTTACCAACAAGAGGACTGAACCTTTTTGGCTTGTAGCTTGCAAATACTTTTTCGAATGATATCAGACCATGGCTGCTAACCTAAGAGATTTAATGTACAATTATTGCCACTTGATTTTGAAACGATATAGTTCTTTCACGCTAGAAAAATTTCTAAATTTGAAGTCCTCTTTAGTTCTTTGACTGTCTTCGCTTCCACTGTGTCTAATATAATAACCCCTTAAATAGCGTATAGCTATTTTTGTGCGCTCTTATTTTGCATAAAAGTAACTACGATTTGTAACGGAATCACTAAAGTTGAATGATCCGCGAGGTTCCACTCATTGCTAGGAAATACAAAAAAACACCCTGAAAAGAAATACTTTTGCACCTTATAATGAAATAAAAGGGACTCCAAATCAAAGAAGTTTTAAAAATAGGTGTCGACTCATATCTTTACTTACATACAAGGAAGTAAACTTCCGACCAAACAAAGGAAAAGCTGTCCTTATGTTGATTTTGTCTGAAATTGCATCGAGCTGACTGGGCATTAATACATCACCATTGTCTTCACCAAATGGAGTGAAATCATCTAAGGAAATAGGCGACGATGGATGTACAAGGGCAATTTCTGTAAATATGAAAATTAGGAAGGAAATGGTTGCCGTGGACATCTTTACAATCTCAGTGAACTCAACTTATTGCTTCGACTAGCGCTATCTGAGCTCATAAAGATTAATCGTGCAGTGCAATCATGGGTAACAGTGTTTATACATTGTTTATAATTAATCAACATATTTCGCGAAGTCAGAGTTAGTAGAAGATGACTAACTATTGTGAAGAGAGAAGCATGCAGGGAAGATAAAGAATGGTTTTCACTACACTATAACCAAAAGGAATGAAAAACAATTAGAAGCTTTATCAAATATTTGTTTGTTGTTTGGCTTAGGCATATCATTGATCTTATTTCATCAAACAACAAGTTATTTTATTACCAAGCTTTCGGGCCTTAGGCCCACCATCAGGGTTAATTAGAAGCTTGTTTATGGAATTAGAAGAGATTAAGAAGGCGTTTCTTGTTTGTTTCTTTGTTGCTTTTTTGTCTTTAATAAGCTTAAGCGGCGTTTACACTAGCAATTTTTCCTTGACAAGAAAAAGTGCCATGTAAATGGGGTAAAATGTGCAATTTTTCCTTGTCAAGGAATAGCCAACATGTTCGCTTTTCCTCATGACAAGGAAAAATTATCAAGGACGAAATTAGCTCGTGTAAATGGACAACAAGGAAAATGTGGCAAGGAAAAATTGTAAAGGAAAACTTGTTCTTCGTTTACACTAGCAAAGAAACATTGTGAAGGAAGAATTGTCAAGGAAAACTTGTTCTTCGTTTCATGTACACTAGCAAAGAAACTTTGTCAAGGAAGATTGTCGAGGAAAACTTGTTGACCATTTACACGGGCAATTTTTCCTTAATTGTCAAGAAACTTGTCAAGGAAAAATTGCTCGGGTAAACGGCGCTTTATTCTTTGTTTATGCCTTTTGGCAAGCTTGAAAGCATCTGGAATGTAAATATATGAGTTCAACGTAGCGTCTTTTTCATGCAGATTTGATGAGCTAAATTTCAACTAAGTAACCCGGAAATAAGATTGTTTTCATACAAAGCGAGCCAGGATAACATACTTTTTACTTTTCAAATCATAATTGTGCATGATTTTCTTTTTCGTAAGTGTTCACTTAAGCCTTCGTTTGAGACTTTGCATATCGTACTTGTATATCTTGTCAAGAATAACTGACAGATATTGATTCTTGATATAAACCTTACCAAGTGCGAAGCAAATTCCAGACAAAAACCAGATAAAGAAAACGTTCACTCGAACTTTTTCCATTCGTCACTCGTCTATTTGGAATCTACGGCTTCATCCTCAAGTTGATGTACGGCCGTCCTCACAACTGTTGTTGTGACTTCGGAACGTTTACATGACCTCATGATTTTTTTTTATTCCTTGACACATTGCCATCATTTTTTTTTTATTCCTTGACACATTGCCATCACTACGAGGTCACGTGATGAAAGTTCGGGGGTACGCATTTTAAGACCTCGAACGAATACTTATACGAGTCAATGTGTTCAAATAACAAAATGCATTGCTAGTCGATCTATTCATAATGAGTTTTTTTTTGGTTTCTGAGACTGATGACTATACCTGCTCCACACACTCGAGAACTTTTATTAAGTTTAGAAAGTATTCTATGACGCGATACCAACGATCTCTTTCTTGATATAGTAGCGCACCTGGGGACGAAATATATGCATTTTTCGCATTTACACTCATTGCATTTTTCTTACCAAGAACAATTTTAGCTTCCCAGGCGGTGTAATAGTCATCTTGAATTCAAGATGCTACAATATATAACATCTTAGGTATTGGTGTAAATGTCCTTTCATCTCAAGTAGCCTTAAAATATGTGTCGTCTTTAAATGCACTGAAGTAATGGCTGGGCTGCCTTAGGAGAGAGTGGTAAGACGAGCCGGCAGTCGATCCATTTTTTGGTGGTTTGATCTATGCTTTGGACCAATCAGAGCGCGTGCGTATAAGACGAAATGACCATAGAAGGTGGAGGGGAAAGGAGAGGATCATATACACCTATTTTCAAGGAGAATGTAAATGAATAAGACATCGGTGATTTATAGCTTTTTATATTAATGAATTTCTTTCAACCAACAAGATTACGAAATGTTCTGATTAAGAAAATATTCTATGTTTAGCGAGCAGAAAAAAGAAAAAGTTAAGTACAAGTCAATACTGCAAGTGCGAAAATACCTAATGCTTGCATAGCGAATTATAGCTCTAAAAACGCGTTGTTGTTGTTTCTTTTTTTTTATTATGTTTTTGTTGTGTGTTTTTTTTCTTCTAATTTTCTTTTTGCCAAACATCAGTGAATGGCTTCCTTTATCGATATCATAGCATTATTTATTCTTTTTGAATCAATGTTTAATATTCACAATGAGGGGAATGCTATTTTTCTGTGAAACTTTACTCTTCATGCTGCATGAACTATTTAAACAATAGAGTAGTTGAAATCGAGGGGATGATATACATATTCCAATGGCAACTATCAAAACAAAATGCCCGATATTTCTACTGCTCGATCGTTTTTTTAACTCGACTCTGAAGCGCGTGGGCTCTATGAACTGATAGTAGCCTTTCGCGGCGGGCATTATCGCGTCACGTGGTCGACTTCCGACCAATGAGAGCGTAGGAAAAGTTCTTGTTGAATTATTAATAATGACTAGATTCGACCTTGCGTACTCCGTTTATATTTTAACAAACTGAAATGAATAGCATTTTAAACAAACGTGTTTTTATTTGACTTACTGTGACTTCAGTCATGTTAACATTAGAATTCGTCTTATAGTGAAGTGTAACGAGCTAAAAGACAAGTTTTCGTTTGAATGCAAGAAACGCAAACTACGCAAGACAAAATTCCTTTCCGTCATTAGCCCACATTCGATATTTTAGTTGACTAACAACAAAATAAACACGTGTTTATTGTGCATCGCCATAGTAAACATATCGAAAACTCTGTCAAGCTATTAGGACAAATATGTAAACAGACTTTTAGTATGTAAATAGATCACTGTCGAGTTATGAATATTAAATATTATTGATATTATTAATTCGGGAAAGTGAAAAGCATGGCCAACGTCTTCACCATGCCCGCAGTTATGGACACCCCATCCTCTGCGAGTGCACTGATCTCCGCCCCGGGCGGAGAGAAGCGTAGGACCCAGGCCCCGTCTGAAAATCAGGCTAACTGATCTAGTGATGGTTCTCCACCATTGCATTTCTCAAAAGCCCCCCTTCCCAGTCTGAATAGGCAACCATTGTGACGTAAGCTGGCTGAGACATAAGAACAGAAATATTTTTCCCAGGAACCCGTCGGCTCCTCCCATCTTTATTTCCCGAGGAACGCTCTCAGGGGAACGTACAATGACTTCACACGATTTTTCTTTTCCGACCAACACTAGAGGTGCTATTCAGGGCTTTACGATAATATTGTAGTCTCGGATGTTGTCAGTCCTTTTCAATTTTCTTGAGAAAGATGTATTGCTGAAATGCGGAGTTTACAAAGCAAACATGTGGTGACTTTCCACCCAGGCAAAAAAAACTGACAATCTCCGGTATCAAAATCCAATAAGCATCACTATTGTTAGTTTTTCGTGTTGGAATGCCGTCATCTCAACACATGCACCGCCACACCTATCTCTATTTGGCTAGGTCTGTAGACCAGAATAGCCGAGCTTTGATCCGTAGGCAAGTTATGTTTGAACCAATATCCTCTTCCCATTTCCCACTATATTATACACCCTTTTAATAAGTCCCGAGGTATTACGTTCTCCGCACTTGACGTCAAATTTATTCTTTTGAATTTCTTTTGTATTGTAAAAATTTCAAAAGAATAAATTTGACGTCAAGTGCGGAGAAAACAATACCTCGGGACTTATTAAAAGGGTATATATATATATATTTATTATATTATACTACAGAAAGAGAATGACAGAACAGCATTGATAAGGATACAGTACAGACGTATATTAATACTTCAGCAAGCAATTCTATATTCTTTGGCTTACTGATCTAAGTACAAACTACATAAGTAGGTACACAATAGTGGGTCAATAAAAAGTAACAAAAAAAAACCCTGCAACATCCATATACACTTTCAATTTTGTTGCTAGCTTTCATTATGGTGAACGAGCATCGAGTACCAGTAATAACTATTATAATGATATCTTTTAAAACAAAGTCAGTAGAGTGGTTTTCATTTGACCGCGAAGCAAAAATGATTATCTAGTTAGTA